CCAGCGTCGGCACCGAGTCGAGCACGGGCGCCTTGTCCCGGCGCGGCGGGACCGTGACACGCGTCACGGGGAGCGACACGGACACGGCCGGGCGCACGCGCGACACGGTGCTCGGGATGTGCTCGAGCGTGGCCACGGCCACGGCGATCTCGCGCGGCAGGGGGTTGACGATGTTCAACACGCACGCGGAGTCCGTGCCCGCGGCAAGGCCCGCGCCCGCGAGCCGCGTGGCCGCAGGCGAAGTGGAACTGCTTGCCGGGCGGGCCGTGGGGGGCGTCGCGGACGGCCACGCGGAGCGGCGCCGTGCACTCGGGGCACTCGACGCAGGTCTTCTGGCAGCGCGTCACGCCCGGCGAGCCCGTGTACTCGGCCATGCAGCTGGGACAGTACTTGCACACCACCTCCACGTCGCAGCAGTGGGGGCAGCGGAGCGCGTGGCAGTGCGGGCAGAAGAAGAGGTCCGGGAGCCGGTGCACGTTCCAGGGCGCCACGCTGGGCGCGGCCGGCCCGGGCGTGCCGGGCGCCGTGTCGCCGCACGGGCAGACGTAGCGGGAGGTGTCGTAAAAGAGCATGCGGATGGTGGTTGGCGCCGACGGGCCGCGCGGAGTGTTTTTCTGTGGGGGCGCCGGGGCGCTTGGGCGGGGCACGTGGAGGGGTTGGTGTTTGTGTTTGTTTGTGCTGGTGTTTGGGTTTGGGCTGGTGTTTGGGTTTGGGCTGGTGTTTGTGTGTTTGTGTGTTTGTGTGTTGTGTGTTGTTGTGTTTCCTGGTGGGTTTGAGTGGTGGGTTTGAGTGGTGGGTTTGACTGGTGCTTGGCCCTACTGTGCGCGGCCCTACAGTGCTCGCGGTTCGCAGGATGTGCGGCGCCAGGGCCAGTGAGAAGGGCCCGGCGAGAAGGGCCCGGCGAGCAGAAACATCGGGCCACAAAACAAACGCTTGGCCCGGCGGGCATGGCGTGTGCGTGCCGAAACCCGTTCCCCGGGCCCGGACAGACGGGCGACGCCTTCCACGCCGTTGTCACGGTGTGCTGAGGTGAGGTCATGTGGCCGGGCAAGCCGCGGTTTGAAACGGCGCCATGAACATGGGCTGCTCGCCGCCAAAACCCACTCGCGGCACTCTCACGAGTCCCGTGCTGCGGCGGGGCAGCGGCGGCGGCTGGTCCGCAGTGGCTGGTTTGTGCTTCGGCCGATTGGCTGCGGTTCATTAGCTGCGGTTCATTTACTGCGGTTCATTAGCCGTGCTTTATTAGCCGCGCTTTATTAGCCGCGCTTTATTAGCCGCGCTTTATTAGCTGGTGCCTTGGAGCCTACGCGCGGCGTCCGCCAGGCGTCCATGGCCCTGCCTGCGCTGCGCTCGGCCCCGTTTGCCATGGTGAAGAATCTGCATTGGCCTTGGCTTGTCCACGATGCAATTCGGCTGGAGGCCTGCGACGACATTTCATAGACGCTGGCTATGACGTCGGGGCAGATTCGGCACTGGCACCGATCCAAGCAGCAAGAAAATGACACCGAAAATAGCTCGGGACTGGCCCCGATCAGCATTGCGCATCGACTTCGCCGCGCAGAGGAACGGACCTACATGGCATCGAATCCATCGGGCCACGACCCTACATTGGAGTTTTATGGAGGTGGATCCAGATACAAAAAATTCCACCACCCAAAAACACACGGCCCCACAATCAAATAACCCCAAAACCACATAACCCCAAAACCACATAACCCCAAAACCACATAACCCCAAAACCACATGACCCCAAACCCCACATGACCCCAAACCCCACATGACTCCATAATCCACGTATCCCAAAAAAAAAAAACAAGGCTCCCACTCTTCCTCGCAATCCGGGACTCCCTCGCTCTTCATTGCATTGGGCCCACGAAACATATTGCAATGCGCGAGGCGGCGGACAGCCTGAGCAAAGCCACGCCCACGACAACGGCACAAGGCCCCATCCGATGCCTTTTTTTTAGTGCCTCGTCCACTGAATAAAGAGACGGGGATTTGGTCTTCATCACGGCCGCTTTTGTTGCACCTCGCCACTTGGCCAGCTTCCCCAGGCCCAGGCAGGCCTGCATACACCCCGGGGCCCTCCAGCACCGAGAAGGAAAAAATATCTCAGCGCCTCCACCGCCGTCTTGTCGCCTGTTCTTCCACAATGTCCTCGCCACAAAAAGAAGGCTTCAGTGCCCCCGCCTCCATCTCGCACGCTGCGCACGGCCACGTCACCACAAAGTCGTTGGGCGTCAAGTACAACTGCGCCCAGTGCGGTGCCAGCTTTTCTTTGGGGAAGAGCGATGCCATCAGATGCAAGGAGTGTGGCCACAGAGTGATCTACAAGGCCAGAACCAGAAGAATGGTGCAGTTCGAGGCCCGCTAGGCATGGCCCGTGGCCGGCGGTCTCGAGAAGCGGCGGGAGTCTGGGGGCCGCGTTGGCGGCTCGCTTGTATACTAGCATAATAAAAGTTCGTTTGATGCCGTTGTCAGTAGCCGGGAAGCCGGGAGGGCCGTGGACGAGCACTCTCATCATAAATTAGACGTAGGATTACATAAACTACAAAGGAACAAAAACGGAGGTCAACAGAAGGTCTGGTCGGGGATTAGCACAGGATGTCAAGGCTCTCCTTGTGGGGCTATTGTGAGCGGCCCGGCGCTGCGTGGTCAGCGATAGTGGATGGGTTCGATGTGAGCTGGAGTCTCTCAACCTCTTCACTTGAACATCTTCTTGAGCTTGGAGAAAAAGCCCCTCTTCTTCTTCTCCTTGTCTGTCTTGGGCACCTTGCCGCCTGAAGAGGCACTGTTCTTCTGCTTGGCAGGAACGGGCTCGGCCTGGACCTCCTCCAGCGGAATGTGCGCCTCCTCGACCAACTGCTTGGCCTCCGACACGGTCGGCTGGAGCTGTTCCACGCTGACTGGGCCTTGCTCCCCAGCAGCAATTTGCTTCTCGATCGCCTTGAGGTCGTGGCCGCCCTGCGCAATGATGATCTCCTCTTCGGACTCGTGTTTAGCACCGTTGACGGGCAAGGCGGTAACCTCCTTGGTGGAGGCCGGCGCGGCAGAGCCGTTCTCGCTGCTTGCGGCATCTGGGGCAGCAGCTACTGGCGCAGCCAACTCCTTTGGGCTCTCGATGGGCTCTCCAATGGCTGGCTGGATCGTGGGTTCGACGGCCTTCTGCTGCGAGATTTCAGACGCAACAACACCCGCCAAGGCACCAGCAACAGCACCGGTGCCCACAGCGCGAGTCACACCGGGGTCAAGCGTCTCTCTCGTTTCCTCCTCCTTCTTCTCCTCGGCTGCCTTCTCGTCGGCTGGCACAACCGTGGGCTGCGCAATGTCATCCTCAGCAAGGGCATAAGGAGCAGGCTCCTTGTCCGCCTCGGCGGGGGCCTGAGTGTCAGATTCGGCCTCGACTGGAACAACAGCAGGGGCAGTAATGTCCTTCTCGGCGAGCGAGTATGGGGCAGGCTCCTTCTCTTCCACTGCAGTTTCAGATTCACCAGAGACAGATTTCTGGACAACATCAGCCGCCTCGGCAGCAGGCTCGTCTGCGGTGGTGATGGCCTCTGCTGGGACGATCACTGTTTCTTCAACCACAGCGGCCGCCGCAGCGATACCAGCAACCTCCTCCTCTGGAACTGGAGAAGACTCCGTGCTCGAAGAGGTTTCGGTCGACTGGGCAACCTTGGCCTTCTTGTTGAGCTTGTATTTGGTTCTCTTCAATTTCTTCTTCTGTTTTTTCTTCTCCTCCGGGGTCAAAACAGCGGCAGCCTCTGGCGCCTCGGCCGCCTTGGTGTTCAAGTCCCGTTCAGTGTTCTCAAAGGTGGTGAAGGCAGCCAATTGGTCCTTATCGGTTGGGATGACAATGCCGGGTTCACCCAAAGTTGTCTGCTCACCCTCAGTGGATGGCATGACAGTGGTGCTGAGCAAGCCGGACTTGACTTCCAAGCCACCAGCTTCAGGGATCTGCGAGTTGGGGTTGGCAGCAGTCAAGACATCCGCAGTCAAGACATTGTTCTCGATTCCGTTGCTGTCGGTGTCAATTGATTGGGCAGAGTTAGTGAGCCACTCGCCGTCGACAACGTACTTGTACAAGACGCGGACATCATCGGCAAATGGAACAGTCAACTCAAAAGAGCCATCAGCCTGCTTGACCAAGGGAAGGCTCTTTGACCATTCGTCAAAGGTGCCGGTCACGATAACATCTTTAGGACCAGAAGGCCTGGTGGAGAGTTAGTAAATCAGTCAAGAATTGCGACATGCATCATTTGGCCTTTTGGTGAGTTCTGTTTCGGTCTGTGCTTGCTGCCAAAAGAATCGCTTAGTGTTTCTGTCACTTGCTCGAACATCTATTCGATGGCGAGGCGCAGTCGCCTTACAAATAACAGCTGAGCTTCCAAGAATTCTCGCTCTATTATTCAATTTCAGCCCAAAGGAATGGGGTGAATGGTAACATTCGTCACCAGCTATATTCCAGCATTATTTGGGCAAATGCTTTTATGTCGACGGAGAAAAAAAAGCAGTAGCAAGCTATTCTCAGGGAGGCTGGCGGCTAACAAAAAAAACAGACATGCAAAAGCAATGCTAGCAGCAAAACTCACGCTTCATATGGAAAAGACAGAATTCTTTACATACCATTTGAACGTATAAGTTGAAGACATGGTTCAGTAAAATAATACGGGGTGGTTAAGAAAAGCGACTGTTTTCGAGAAAGTTGTGCTGACGATATAGTCCTGCAGTCAGTAAACCTGCAGTCACGTAACCCAGTTGAGAACACAGGTACTATGGATACCTTCCTGCGCATGCGTGGCTCTCATACACCCCCTCCGCCGTACGAAGCTACATTTGCGATACTGGCATGCAAACTGTGCGAGTCTCTCGCAGCCAGCACAGTATTATGTATGCTTTTTTCGTCTTTACATGCTGGCTGCTCGCTCTCGCAAACCTTATTTCTCACCAAAAATGCTGAGCAAGATGGGAAGTAGCACTAGCGCATGCGTAGACGCCACGACCACCAACGAGAGCCACATTCGGAAGTAGAAAACTTCGAATATCTGAGACTGTGTGTAGGCAAGGACAGCAATTCCGATCAATTTGGTCATTGTAATTCCTCCAAGCACTGAGCCACCCACTCTGCCTAGCGCCTTAGATGCCAATGTAACTCTTCTGTCATTCATTTCATCCACCGTTTCATCCAAGGCCATGAACCCGTGGAAGGTATTCTCTTCTTCAGTTTCATCTCTCGCTGACAAATATGCCTTTGAAATGTGCACGGTAAATTCGACCGCCAACCCAAGACAAATGACCAAATTTACTAAACTCACGGCGTTAAGGGATATTCCCCACACTGCCATTATGCCTCCAATGTTCAATATTACAGCTGCCACTGTGAGCGTTAGTATAGTGGCTGATATGAACAGCCCCAAAAGAATTGAACTCACTATCCAAATGATAAGCTCTGCTGCAGCTAGAGTAACAAATGTGAGCCACACTATGTTTTCATACTGAACGAAGAAGACATAAAATGGCGAGAATGCAAACAATTCTGTGTCATAAGAAGAATGTTCACGTATCTCATCGACGATTCTCAATGCATTCTTGTATGCCACAATGAAGTCATTTTGAGACCGTAATGGTTTGTGACTTGTGCGCAAATAACTGCTTTTTATCGTCTCACTGTCGTAGCTCACTGATGTCCCATAAGGTGCCTTTCCGCCAAGTGGACATGGGTCGCTTGGTTCCTCGATCCATTGGTTGAAGTACATCATAAAATCAACCCCAGTGGGAAGCCCCTCCATCAGTATGTTGTAAGGTGGTTGATGGTCAGCATAGCATGATACACACTGTCGGGGAGAAGCGTATGGGCTGCAAAACTCCTCTCCAACGGCAGTTTTCTTAAATCGGCAGCATTGATCAAGGTCAGGGTTGAGCCAGTTTAAGAACGTATCCAACCAGTTTGAAGCTGGCTCCGCGATTGAGGACAAGTTTCCACGCTTGTATTCCTGTTCGAGAATATTTGCTATTGAAAACTCGTCGCAAGTTGAGTACTTCCCACAGAGTTTTTGTTGGCCTTCCCGCTCTGTGACATTCAAGTCCTTCACAATGAAGAAAATTGGTGGCCCAACATTTAAATACTCATAAACTGAGTTGAAGTAGTCGACCAAGTACGAGTCAGAGGGTATGGCTAAGCGTTGGTCAAGGCCAAGCTCGATATTTGGGAGCAAGCTTAGAGATATCCCAAGCCATACTAAGAAGATTGTAAGTATCTTTCTCTTGTTTGGGGCATGCAAAAGCCATGCGCCATATGTGTTTTTCATGAACAGAGTAAAGTCATACTCAATATGACCTCTTTCATCGGCCTGAATAGAAATTTGGCTATCGGCATGGATCCAAGGAGCAAAATCCAATCTGCCGTCCTCAATTCTTCTCTGGTCTATTGTCAAGATCAGAACAAACATCGTCATTTGAAGCGTGAAATTAATCGTGATAGCACCAGCGGAGTATAAAGCAAAGTTTCGGACTGCTGGCATCTTGACGGTTGACGCAATCAAAAACATAGAAGCTTGTAGTATAAAGCTCAAGAAACATGATGGTCCAATGATACCCATTGTCCGAGAGACTCGGCCCTCAAGTGAAAGCCGCTGACTCGGTGATTCATCCACCAGCACCTCAGAATTTATCTTGAGCTCATGCACAATTAAAAAAATGTTGTCAACGCCGACTGCTAATACCAAAAATGGGATGACCTCAGCTATGATGAGCGTTGACTTTATCCCGATCTGTGCACAGATGCCAGCTGATGCAGCAACAGCCAAGACTATGATCATGATCCCCGCCAATCCAAGCTGAAACCTTGTGGAAACAAAATTTCTCAGGTTCAATGATATTGGGATTTTCCCACCGAGAGCCACAGAAGCATACAAAAACATCACTAGATATGAGATTGCTATAATCTTCATATCTGTGTTGGAGGACAGGTTCAACTCTTGCTCAAGAGATATCTCCGTGCTGAATGAGATATGAAGATTAGGTTGTTCCAATCTTATCTCATTGATCCATTTCTGAAGTGCCTTCTCGTACAACTCGGCCCTAGCTGTGTAGCTCTGGTTTTTCGAGTCGCTGTTAAGAAGGATAGTGATGATAAAAGCCTTCGCGTCCAACGGGTTCTCTTCGGAGAACAATATGTTGGGCTTCAACGGCTGCTGGAAAGTGGGCAAGCAATTCACAGGTGAATTTGCACACGAGCTTAATTGCTGAGCCCAGTTTTCTTTGCTAAGATACTGAATTTGGCCCTGGAAATACTGTGTGAACGATTCGATTGCACATGTCTCCCCCAAAGGCTTGAAACATAAACTTTCGAGAGCAATTTCTTGGCTGTGCTCATCTTCAAGCAGTTGAAGTTCCAACTCCTTTTCAAACCACCACTGTACAGTCTCCCAGTCGAGCACAGGTTGAGACAGGTTGGCCTTGCTAATGATGATCTGTTCTATTCGGTACCATTCGCCGAAGTTGTCCTCGAAATACTGGCGGTTAATCAATGCTGGCTCGTCCTCACTGACCCAAAGCCGAATGGGATCCAACTCCCATTCTATCTTGCGAAGTCCAGTGCACGCGAACAACACAAGAAGCAACGAGATCAGTATCACTTTCACCGGATGAAACGAGCATACAAGCGCTAAGTTCTCAAACCCAATCCTTATTTTATCGAGAAAGCCCTGTCGGGACTTTACGTAGCGGCGACTGGTTTCAGCACCAAGTTTGATGATCACAGAGGTGAAACCTCGGTTACTGAAGATTGAGCTTGATGTTTCTGATCTGTCTTCAGCTTCTCCCAAGGTTTGCTCTGCTTCGCTTTCGTTCAAGGTCAGATTCAAGTCTGTGAACTGTTGTTTGCTTCTCCGCGATAGATAAACATGATACGCGCCAATAAGTGTGAAAAGGACTAACCAAATCACACCAATGGCCAAAGAAAAACATGGCTGTCCCCAAACTTTGCACGTTTGATCGAATCGACGAAATTCCGGAAGCGTGGGACATGACAGCGGACAGTCTGAACAAGCACATCTATACACAGCGTCGTCGCATGCACGCATGTTCCCCGAGCTCAACTCCAAGTCCAGCTCAGAGTTTCCAGTCAATTCATACTGGTAATTGATTTGAAAAGGCAGGCCACCCAAAAGCGGTTTTTCGTCGCCCAAGAATTTTAAGAACTGTGAGTAGTTTGACGCACCCCCGCCAATCAAGTCCATAGCGTAGCCATTTGTGGCAGAGAACTTGATGTTTTTACATGAGTCAAAAAACGCAGCGGCGTAATCAGGGTCTGTGTAGACAGTCATTTCAGTCACGACCTCCAAATGCGTGTCAATGGCGGGTTGTGTCTGGATGATTTCAGTGAACATGGACTGGTCTGCCGAGCAAGCAAACTTGCAGAAAAAATCAAAGAAGTTTCTTTGGCAGGCAGGGCATGAGCTAATCAAGGGGCTTGCTTTCTTCAAATTCAGCTCTAAATTGAGCAATTGTTCGTGGGAGCAACAAAGACCGTTTTCTACAGGGAAGTCTGCGCCACACACCCGGGTCAAGATGTCCATGGATTCCTGTGATGGCTTCACGGCCCGGGTGTTATTGACGCATGGAAGCAGAGAGCCAAAAATGGACTTTTTGCCGCAGTTTCCATACGTGGAGCAAACGCCTTTGGCCCTTATTGGATGATCTGCTATCACGGTGGATAAGAGTGTGATAAGGGCGAATAGCCCAATGAAGATCATGCGAGCAAATGGGGGGCCCTAATAAAAGTTCTTACTATGCCTGAATTCAAGTGAGCTGGTATAGCGGATTTGAGCCAACTGAGAGTTGTGGATGGATCTTTTGAATAGAAAGTAGTGCAATACGCCGAATGCAAAAGTTCCGGAGCAACCAGAGCAGAACCATGTATGCAGATCTGGCGGAGTGCGGCGGGCCAACCGTGCAATCTATAGAAGTGGAGAAGATATGGGAGTATAGTAGAGACCGCAGCGTAATAGACACGGGCGCACGTTTTTCTGCCTCGGGTTCTTGGCTCCGTATATTTATCCAAAATCTGTTTTGCTTATAAATCAGCCATATAGATATAGATACATAGATATAGACGTATAGATATAGACGTATAGATATAGATATATAGATATAGACGTATAGATATAGATATATAGATATAGATGTATGCGCGGGCGCTATATATGGTCCGGACAAGCAGAGGCTCGGCCGCGCTGGAAAAGTGAAGGCCCTAATAAAAGTGACAGGCCCAATTCAGAGCCGTATACAATAGAAAGGGCAGATCATTGGCCCGGGTGCCATCTGCCCCCTGGTCCAAGTATATACACAGCTCAAGCAAATACAGGAACATCACCAGGCGCCAAAATCAGACTGCAACGTGGACTGGGACACAGCACCAAAAACAAGATAGTTACCTGTTGAGTTACCTGTTGAGTTATGCGCGGGCCACCAAGACCACCGCACCCAGCGCAATTTGCAGAAGTCTTTTGGCTCCAACCAAGACCACCGCCAAAACCACTACTTTACTGCCCCAGCCTTTTGCCCAGACGCAGTAGGCGTTTCACTCCTCCAAAAATCTTTTATAATAAACCAAACAGGTCACCCAACCTGCGTTTAGGCCTTCTTGCACGAAAGATGAGACGGCGAATCCAGACGCGTGGGCCCAGGGCCGCGCGCGGCGGCCCCATCCAGATCGGCCCGGTTCGAGATGCCCATGCCCATGTATTCTTACGATAGAACAGTGGCCCCCCAGCGCCGTTTTTTCGCCGACAAAACAGCCGCTTTTTCCTCACACATCTGCAAACAGCCCCATGTTGCTTGCCATCTCCGGCACGCTCGCGGCCGGCAAGACCGAGGTGGCCCGGTACCTCACGTTCCAGGGCTTCCAGCTCATAGCGGTGAAAACCCACCACAAAGCCCCCGGGCCGTCCGCGGACGGCGAGCTAGACGCCCACGTGTACGAGCACTTCGACGAGCTCTTGGACGACGTGACCTCCAAGTGGCAGCAGAACTTTGTCATCTCGCACATCGACGACTCGGCCATGCTCCACAAGCTCCAGAAACGGCCGTTTTTCCTCCACCTCTCCATCGACGCGCCGGTGTTCTTGCGCTACCAGCGCTACTGCTTGAAGAACAAGGACAGCGTCGAGACCGCAGAGGCGTTTATCGCCAAGTCCGACGCGCTCTTGTTCAACCCGCTCAACCCGCTCATTGAAATCAACAACCAGGCGCACATCAAGGTCGTCAACACCACCGCGTCCATCAAGAGCCTCTACATCAAGTTGAGCGAGCTCGACGTGCTCAACCCAGAGCGGCTCCGCCCCACGTGGGACGCGTACTTCATGCGGCTCGCGGACTTGGCCGCGTTGCGGTCCAATTGCATGAAGCGCAGGGTGGGCTGTGTCATCGTCAAAGACAACCGGGTGGTGGCCACGGGCTACAACGGCACGCCGCGCAACCTCACCAACTGCAACGAGGGCGGGTGTGCGCGGTGCAACCAGGGCCAGGGCAGCGGTGCCAGTCTTCTGACGTGTCTCTGCTTGCACGCGGAGGAAAACGCGTTGTTGGAGGCTGGCCGCGAGCGGACGTCGGGCGACAAGTCCATCTTGTACTGCAACACGTGCCCGTGCCTCACGTGCTCCATCAAGATCGTGCAGAGCGGCATCCGCCAGGTGGTGTATGCACAGAGCTATTCCATGGATGAGCAGTCGCACCGCGTGATGAGCGAGGCCCGCATCGTTCTCCGACAGTACGTGCCGCCAAAGGAGGGCATTTTCATATGACCGCGCCTGGCGCCTGGGCTCTGGTGGTGCCCCGCACGGTCTTTGGCACACGCCTCTGGCTGGCCTCTGCGGGATGTGCCGTCGTTGGCCTCATTGTAGTATCTGCTGTCCATGGGCCTTTCCTGGCCGGGGCTGCAATGGCTGGCGTGCTGACACGCATCCAGCGTGGCTGGTTCAACAGACTGCCATTTATATGTGAGACACGCTTTGGTCTCATCACCGTCGGCCCTTTCGGGGCACTGAATGTAAACTATCATCATGATTTCTGCTATTATCATGATGTCGGCTATTATCATGATGTCGGCTTTTATCATGATGTCGGTTATTATCATGATTTCTGCTATTATCATGATGTCGGCTATCATCATGATGTCGGCTATTATCATGATGTCGGCTAATGATGTCGGCTTTTATCATGATGTCGGTTATTATCATGATTTCTGCTATTATCATGATGTCGGCTATCATCATGATGTCGGCTATTATCATGATGTCGGCTAAAAGCATTTATAACGCTGCCCCGCATTACTAAGATAAGGATGTGGCACTGTGTCTGAGCTTTTTCGTACGTTCTTGCATTGGTGGACAGAGGAATGGTCTTGAATGGTCAATTTAGTAGAGATATGCAACTGAAACCTACGTGAAGATCTTCGGCTGGAACACGAGGCCCGGTCTTTGACAGGTGCATGAAGTACTAATCTCCATCTGATGCATTAATTATTGTTCTGCACCAAGTGTAGTAACTGATGATCATCTGATAATCAACAAATCATAAGCATTTGGTGTGCGCATCAGCAGTATAGTGATATGTTTCTATTCCCGTATACGAATGCTGTCTCAGGATTGGACCCAGGGTCAGCATAGGCCTCCTAGTGTTAGCGCCCCTGTAATACGTTTTTTTTTTTCTGTGTAATTGCTGTTCATTTAATTTTCTTGCAATCATGCAGCTCTTGAGTACTTCGATGGCTTCTGGCAATTCTGTAATAGTCGCAGATTTCGGTTTCTACTGCAAAATCTTGCTTGATTCTTCAACAAGAGAGAAATTCACCACACTCAAAAACGTGGTAAAAAATAAGCTGCATTCTACTCAACAGGTGCTGACCCCAAGGTGTAGCGAATTTTTTTTTCCGATCAATTGTTTAGTATGCTCACCTTTAAAACTATATGTGAGAGCCTCAAAAGCTCTCACAGCGTTCGAGAAGATTCTTTCCTGTTTCTCTTTGTAGCCTTGTTCCTCTTCTGGATAAGCGAGATAAGGTCTGCGCCTCTCCTGCTTTGACTTTCTTCAGTTTCTTTTGCGAGGTCAGATTATGGACAGACCTTTTTTCAATTCAATTTGACCGCCGTTTTCGTAGGACATTGATGCCGTACACATGGGGTTTCTTCTGGGTGATATTTTGAAAATGTCGTTTGTGGCTGACTTCTGTTTCTAAACAACCATGTCATCAATTACGGAAGTCGTAACTTTCTACGAAATCGCGCAGTTATAAGTTCATTCGTATTTTTTCTGTACTTTACAAGCTGTCCGGGTAATATTGAATGTTTGAGAATCGATCATGGGATTTCAGAAATAAAACCTCATCAGAGTAAATTTATCTTCACCAGATGTGTCTTGAATATATCTCATTTTCTTGAGCAAGACATGTACTTTGACTGTTTCGCCATTTACAAGGTCAATAACATGTATATCTGCTTCTTCAATCAAAGAATCCGTCATCTTTCTTCATGTTCTGTTTCTAGAACATAATCCAAAGTTTTGCATTTTTTGAATTGCACGAGATACTTCGTTTGTGGCCCTCGTTCATCGTTTAGCAAGTTCGACATCTTTGGCCTTTGGAAATTAGAGCAGCTCCAGCAGTCAAGGTGACAGAACTTGGGACATTTAGTAATTTATGGGAGTTAATACAGACTGCTATGCAATTACATGTAGAAATGGGGCTCGACTCTATGGATTCCGCTGTGAATATCAAGTCTCTGAATGCTTTGTCGACGCTGTGATCAAATGGAAACAGTATGAACGGAAAAATGTATTTAACTTGCGGTTATTATGTAATAAACGTGAAATAATACAGAATTACGTTCTATTTAGGTGAATACTTCCTGTTTCAAATAAAATGTTGTTAGATGCGCATATCTGAAAGGGCTCAGGTACCTCTTCTTGCAAGTTGAGCAAATTTTCACTTGAAACATACATAATCACACCAGTTTAGCCTTGCGGATAATGGTTCAGTTGACAATGAAAACTCAATGATGCAATGCATGAGAGCAATAGCTAAATCACGTCGAGCTAATGAATACACTTAGTGGTTTTCAAATTTCTGTAATACAAGTTCAAAACCTTGGTCCCACTGTCAACAAGAAATGGATTTGAATATTTAAGCCGAGGAGTCTTTTTTTAAGAAGTCTTCTTGCACTGTTGTCTAAGACCTTGCTTGAGTTAATTGGTAGAACCAAAGCTCTGTTGTGTCCATTCCCATCGCGGTCATGCCAAAGATACTCATCACATAAGGAATTACGCGGAACATGTCAAGCAACATACTCCTACAAAGAACAAACAAATTGTTCTAATTTAGCTGGTGAGTTAAAAGGCTTCTTCGACTTGGCGTAAAACATATTCACTTCCAGCTGATGTGTTGAGTAAAACTCTTCAATTAATAATAATCATTCGGTAGCTTTTGTGATCGACAAACTGAGCAGTCATCCCAAATTGGACCTTTAGTGCCAGATCAAGTAGTAATCTACTAATTCTCTTTACGAAAAGAATTTTTATCTGATGAAGAAGGAATCTTCAAGCTGAAATAAGTCATAGGGTGTGAAATAACAGTAGATTACAGAGTAGTTGTTAGAGAGAAACAATACCTCATACCATTGCTGAAGTTGAAGAAACAGCTTAGCATAAAAAGATAAAAAAACAATCTAAAAAGCAATCATATATGAGGGTAGATTTTCTTAGATGAATCGCTCTTACTGGGCCGATGATGAGTAATAAAAAACATACATATTATGCGCTCTAGTATACCATTCTTTTGGCGGCGTCCTCATCGACTGTTTTGTACAAGAGGAACCGTTGCAAGAATGACACCTTTCTATTCTATGCATGCGACCCTGTTAAAATCCCCTATGTTTCCTTGAAATAGTACGGGCCATCTTTCTCTCGGGCCTCTACTTCAATACTAGCAATTTTTTCGGGTCCCACGTGCAAGGATGCAGAAATATGGTCTCCGGGCTTCACGGGCCCCACACCCTTGGGTGTTCCTGTCAATATCAAGTCACCCTTCTCTAACGTCATGATTGATGACATGTGACTTAAAATCTTATGAATTGGAAAGATCATTAGGCTAGCCATGTCATCCTGCTTGGTCTTTCCGTTAACTTTAAGATCCAATCGCACGTTGTAGGGATCTGGGATATTCTCTTTGGGGATAAATTCCGACAAAGGCAAAAACGTGTCGAACCCTTTTCCAATTGACCACGGCAAACCCTTTTTCTTTGCCTCGTCTTGCACGTTCCGCGCAGTCATGTCGATCGAAAGTGCATATCCATCAATTGCCTCCAACGCATCCTCAGGCGAGAAATCCTCCGTCAAGTTTCTCAAGTCTTTTCCAAGAATTACCGCGAGTTCCACCTCGTGGTGCACTATTGTTCCTCGGGGCACTAGAAATGGTCCAGAGTTTGGCTTCAAAATCGACGAAGAAGGCTTCAAGAAGAAGAAGGGCTGTTGTGGGGTGGTATTGTTGAGCTCTTTTATGTGTGCAGCATAATTGCGCCCAATGCAAAGAATCTTTCGAGCATTTTCAATGTATTTCAAGGGCATCTTTACAAATATCGCTATTTTTCTTGATCTCGAGATGTACACGAGATACCTATTCTTCGATGTAGGAAATCTCTGCCCCAGATCTGGGGGAAAGTTACGATATGTTACGAGACTGCGAAGAAGTCGCGCAACTAAAAACACGAAAAAGTGGAGAAGCCATGGCACGTATAAATGACGAGGCGATTCCGTTGAATTTCCGTGAATTTGGTTCATTCTTGCGAAATCATGTGATGGAAATTCTTAAAAATTTCATTTGAGTGGAAGATTTTGATATGTTTGACTAATTTTACAAGTGTATCACAAACGCCATGCAACGCGTGTATCGGCTCCGACACCGGAGCAGGCACTTCCCGTCCCTGAAGAAAAGCAAAATCTTTCGTTTGAGAAAAAATGATTCAGTGATGCTGATCACTTATTTGCTTTATATGAATAAATAAGGATATCCTGTCGACTCACCTCTGAATTTTCGTCATTATGCACTCTTTGATCGTGCAATATTAGAACGCGGCTGGGTTCTTTATAGAATTGTTTATTTAAGTATGTGATATACTACGGACCCTAACTCCTGTTTCGCTAAAGCCCTCGAGAGGCAAAAGGATCCTCCTCCCCTTTTCCCTCGTGAAAGGTTTTATATACTAGTAGTCACGTGACTTCGCACGTGGCGCTCCATGTCTTTGCCATGTCTTTGAGTTGCGCTGACATGCAATAAGACACACATTGCATGGTCGCAACTTCTAAAACGTAGTCTTAATCTTTTTGCTCATAATGTGATGACTCATTTGTTTCTAAGAAGATTTATCGAAACATCAAAGATACCATCCTTAAAAAATTCTAGACTATGAGTTTGTGAAATCTTAGCCTAATGTGCATCATTTTTCAGACAAAATTGGTATTATATACACGTTACACACAAATCAAGTATCAGGGCAAAAGCAACAACGAGAGGACTTGGATCATCATTATAGTTGAACTTTCTAGTAGAGCTACCTGTTTTCAGCTATTGATTGGCTAATAAAATATCAATTAATTTCAAACGAACAAGATTTTTCCAGCCGAATTATGTATGGGGTATTTGCTGGTTTACAAATGGGGCAGCAAAAACCAAATTCCAAGTCCTGCTTTGCCCACCGTCCATGTCTTCTTTGTATTTGAATGAAGGATTGGCAAAATAATTCCACGCTGACTTCGGGTCGAAAAAGACCCGATTAGAATTTAAGACTCCAGCCCATGCGCCAGTAATGCCCAATTTTCCTAGAATTTCGTCCCATTCCGTCCGAGCAAAGTCTGCATTTCTCACCAGCCCAAGAGCAGGCGTTAGTGGCAACATTTGGATTCCATGAATAAACTCAGTCTTTCCGCCAAACCAGGTTTCGTAAGCCAACTTTGCTTCAAAGAGTATACCCGATACTCTATTTTTTAACATTGTAGGAGGCACAACCGTGTTGCCGTCCTGGTATTGAAAGTAAAGATTGAAGGATGCTGTCTGGATACTCAACATTAAATTTCCTCTTGCCTCCATGGCCTCGTCTCCAATAACCTGGCCCCACATTTTCATCGCGTAAGAAAAATTGACGTCCTCAGAAGTTGATTCAAGATCTTTCCCGTCTGTCACAGGAGTTATACCATGGGCCCATGAATGACCTTGAAAAATGTCGAACAGTCTGAACACGGGGAAAAAGGAATCTTCTTCAGATGGATTGGCCACATCTCTGACGAAAGTGTTAATGAAATCTTTGTTGTCTGCAACCCAATTTCCTCCAAATTTCTTGTCAATTTTCCCAACAACTGCTGCTGCATGAATGTAATAGGAGTAATGGAAATTATGGTCGTTGTATAACCCATTTCCAAAATCTATGTTGATGTTATTAGGGTCAACTTTCCCATTCTCAACGTTTCTAAAAGCACTTTTTGACGTGACACCTCCGAATTTTGTATCGTAAAAAAAGCCTGTGTCACCCTCCCTTTCTCTGAATGTTTTAAAAAATCGCTTCAACGAGTTCAAGACATTCTTAGTCAAAACTTCATCTTTGAGGAATTCATCAACCACATACAAAAGGTATGCAAATTTGTCAAGAGCTTTACCCGCAAAATAATGGCTATCGATATCCAAGACTGTTCGTTCAATATCCACTCCTTCAAGCTCTTTCTTAGCAGTTTCACGAATTAGTTCGATTTGCTCTTTCGTGTACTTGAGCTTTTCATTGTTTCTTTTCAAGTAAGGCAACCACTGAACCTTATTGTCAACTTCATGAGAGAAAAGGAGCTCATCAGATAAATACCCTTGCATTGTCCCTTTTGTCGTCGTTAGCTGAATTATCTGTTGTGCTCGCGCGTTCATTCGCTCATCAAACAATCCAATATGATGGGGTAACGCGAAGATAATGGGCTTACCGAAATTAGAGGATCCTTTCGTCTCGTATTGAATCTTGTAGTCGACTGTTCCACAGCTCACGCTTCCAGAAATTTTAGTACCCGTGACATACATTCCGGCAGCTTGTTGGTATACTTTTTCTGTCTTGAAGTCACTTTCAGATGTAATTGCGATCTGAATAATAAGACCGTCCACAGCTTTTGAACCTTCAACGTAGTGAATGGCTCCGTTTTTGTTTTTAGATAGTTCAAACGTCTCATCGATATTTGGGAGGGTCACTGATATCAACCATGTCTCTAAGTTTCCACCCTTGGCTCGATAAAATTGGGTATTACTGGACTTTTCTGAGAAACGCAATCTTTCAAATGTCAGGATCCCTTCCCTACCCTGAATTTTTGGGATCAAGTCCCCATTGTACACAGCTGTAACAAATCCCATACCCTCGACCAAAGGAAATGCAATATATCTCTTGAAATCTGACTCAGAAGAAATCTTAGCCTCAGCTGATAATGATTTCATGTCTGACATCCTTAAATGACAACTGTCTTCTTTGATGGAAGTTGCACCAATAAAAATACCAGCTCTGTGGGGCGGGTTGTAGTAGAATTTATTTGTACCAGGCTGTGCACCCACGCCGTCATATACTCTGTGATTGATGTCGACGTTTTGAATTCCCATTCCAAAAAAGTCTTTTTTTTCCCAGTAAACAATGTACGGGTAAGTGTAAACTGGTCCTTTCTGGTCTCCCATAAACATATTGGTGTAGAACCTGTTTGTTTGAAAAGGAATTAAATTAGAGACACCGGGAGGAATTTTAATTGGATGATCTTTGGCTTCATGAAATTCAGCGGGATTGACATCTGCAATTTTTTCAAATAAATTTTTGTATGAATTGCACAGAGGTTTTGATGCGAAAGTTAAGGTTTTATCTATCAGTGAAGGCATGTGGGAAGAGGTTGCGCTAGATTTTCTAGATCTATCAAGGCTGGAGCTGGATAATCTAGAGCTGGAAGCAGGCTCACGAGAGCTGACGCTTGATTGTCTGGAGTGGACTGCAGACTTTTCAGAAGCTCTTGAGCTTGTGATCGCATCGGAAGTGACAGAGCTAGAATGTGCTCGTTCAGAGCGGTGAGACTTTGATCTATCTGTGATAGATTGGTTCCACGGGTGCATCCCAAATGACAGCAGATATACTGTGGACGAAATCATTGATGAAATTGGGATGTCGGTGTCGGTAACAAAATTTAAGCTTTCAGTGACACTCGCTCCCCCAAATACAGAAGAAGAACCGAATCCTGTAGTAGTCTCTGAGGCAAAAGACCAATCGTTGATAGTAATTTCATTCGGGCCATGCAAGACTGTGAGATCTAGAATTGGATTTTCTTTTGTCCCACTCACTGATGCTACACCACTCTCGTAACTTGCGGACAGAGTGGGAGCACCCGAAAATATTGTTTCCGTGGAAGCGTTTTTGACATTCGTATAGATGCTCAAAGCAATATCCCCTTCCGAAACAGGGATAAACTTATTTGTCTCTTGTGAAAACATATTGCTGTATGTAGAAGTCCTCATTTCAGTCAGATGTCTATTTGATTTCATCGTATTGGAAACAGTAGGACTACTGTAAACACTCAACTTTCTGCTTTCAGAATTAGCTGTTTGTCTCGCTTCAGACTTACTTGTCAAATGAACATCGATGGATGTAACGGACATTGGTTCCTTTCCGGCACTTCTGGATTTGTGGTCAGAACTTTTGGAACTAATTGCAAGACAATGGCGAGGAATTTTGCGTGACTGGGGGATAATAGGGCGAGGTTTTAAGTCCAGGGTGCTGGGATAATGAGTGGCAGTCGCTGAATCCTCAATCGCTTCTCTCCTGACAACTTGGGCGAAAGCTTGCCCGTTGAAAAAAAGGCATAACAATAAAAGAATGAATAATTGAGTCGACATCTTTATGAGTGTCTAAGATGTATCGAGCTGAGTGCCGACAAAAAAAATGTATGTTTCTCTCTTCGTTCTTTGGACCTGTCGTCTGAGTCTCTTTAAACATAAAAAATCACCAGTCTTGGAAGGCTGGGGTATTTATAAGAAGAATTGCCCGCAAACGTGGATTTCTGGTTGACCTAAAATTGCCATTGTGGCTGTATTGTTTTAAAAGACTGCAGCGTATGAGCTGCAAGAGGTACAAACCCAAATGGGCTTTGTGAAGTTTCAAAGGTTCTCTTTTCTTTTTCTAAATTTTGTTTGTTGCAGCATGTTTTTTTCTCTGACTTTATACTCTTATATACCTCAACGCTAAAAGATAGCGTCACTGACCAATAGTCCTAATTCTTTCGAACAATTTAAAGTCCGAACCGTGCACACCTGTTCGTTCTTCTGTTCTCATCGCTTAAAGGCGCGGTGCATGTTTCAACGCGTCAAGTAAAATGATGGCTGGTGAGACCAAGAACTTGAGCAGCTTATGTTTTGATTTTGCGGAATGCAACAATAGAAAAATGTTAAATTTGGGACCAAAGCATCTGTGGCCAGAATCAGTGCCTTTATGGCACAAGAGTACTACTTTGAAAAGACCGAACGAAAAATTTGGGGATTTTTTTCTGGAGCTACAAGCTTCAATGCTAGTTGCATTCCCACACAACTGGCCCGTAATATAGTGTACCGCCGAAAAACTACTGTTTTATATGGCTATAATGGCAGACGGATCAGGTGTATTTTCCATAGACAACTGTGCGGTCCAATCCTATTCCGTTTGCTGGGCCCACATATATACGTCTTATATATACGTCTCGCCGCAGCAATTGATAACGGCTGCCTCCTAAAGGAAAAGCAAACAACTTCCTGAATAATCACAATTCTAAACGCATGATTGTGCACTATTTATCTACCAGCCACCACGGGGCATGGGTGGCTGAAACGTTCCAGTTCTAGTCGCAGTTACCAAATCCAATCAAGGCAACTCCACGGTTGAATAGCTCCAGCACTTCTTGTAGCAGTACACGCAGGTTAACAATTTAGATAGTCGCGCCTTGTGAGAACTAGACGCTTAGCCCTAATTAATCATGTGACAAATGAGACATTAAAGTTCGCACCACTTACCCGGAACCAAATAGCACGACGAGTATATGAAGGGAAGAGAATTCCCTCTAGAGATCTTTTTAGAAGGTCAGTTGACACAAAAGTGGTTTTAGTTTTTCCTAAATAAAGGTTTATTTCCACACGCTAGTACATCATGTCGAATCCGATATCTCAACTGTACCAGTTGGGAACCACTTGTGGACAGGACATTGAGTTGGAATATCCTGTACTCAAGCAGAAATACAAACACGCCTAGACCTGTGCGCGATCCAGCCGCGCCATCTAAACCGGCTTGGATCAGTCTCGATTCGTCAAGTACACAAATGTTTCTTGGCCTATACTGTAGTTACCCAGCAGCCCGCAAATGCGTACTTTTCATGGTCCAAAAGCATTTCCCGACTTGGAAATAGCTAATGGGAACTTGTACTCTCCCACCTAAAGCTTAAATCGCTTTCGTGGTCCCAACAAGCTTTTGTAACTAAGTCACAATTCCCATAGATCAGCACTCTTCTTATAGATACGCTGGTTTTCTTCTAAGATGTATCAAATATTTGCCCGGGCTTTGATTACGGTTACATTGATCAATTTCGACGAGTCCGGTGTGTACACCTCGGTCTTGAGAGTCTATCAGAAGAAAAAAAAAGTACACGCACGTTGTGCCGCTCCAAGAGATAAAAATATAACTTATTCCATGGTGCCATGGCTCAAATTTGTGACATGTAAAACACTGTAGCTTTTCATCGCCAAAGATTATGGCTTATTTTTGCACTGAAACCGGAATTTGGCTTTCGGCTCATCCTAGTTGTATTACACGTCAGCTTATTTTCGTTGAAATCAACGATTATCAAATCCACTGGTCAAGGGTTTCGCAAATCGAATCGGCTAAAAGTAAAACATTGCTTACTGCTTCATACACGCTAAGCTATTATAATCCAAATTGGAAAGTCCCCGGTATTAGCTTGACACCTATGGTCTCTGTAAGCGCATATATGACTATATGTACTTTTATTATTGTGAGTTCCGTCAGATATCACTTTGAACATCTTATAGAATATTCTCTCGAGTTTCAGGGGTTCCTATCACGTGACCTCTGGCTAAATTATATAACGGTGGGATAGAACTCCCATGGAATTTTGGAGAAAGTAGTGATCAAATAGTAATACGCAACCGCTTTGTCCCGTGAAGTCCCTAACACAAATGCACATTCTTTCCAACTCAGTCTCAAATTCTCAAGCTTCTTACTCATCTCCAGAATAGAGAGAAGCAAATTGCGAGAGGCTTCACGGGAAATAGGGGTTATGTATTACTATTCGATCACTGGTTTCTCTAGAACCCAACAGGAGCTCTATTACACCTTTATGTACTTTTTTAGAGGTCACGTGAACGGAGCTCTTAGAACTCAAGAGGCTATTCTACGAGTTGATCAATGCGATACCTGATGGAACTCACCGCAATAGGAGTGTAAATAGTCATATATGTGTTTACAGGGATCCTCGGTGTCAAGCTGATACCAGGGACCTTAGACTTTATTTAGTAGATTCATCTGATTAAAGGGGCAAAACTATATAGCAAATATATATAAAAAACCTTTAAACAGCTCCCAGCTACGTACCAAATGTCTTAGCTCGGCCCGTCCCCTTCCGTTAGTCACGGCCTGGACAGTCCTCATGGCACGTATCTGTTTACGTATTGGATATTACGTCATCGACTCCTAGGATAGGTCTCCTGTAGTAGTCGCTTCAACTCAGCTGGTTGTAGCGGACTTAAGGAGCCCACTTCCTGCGACTCGCCTCGCCTTCTGGTGTAGACCTTGAAGATCGTGGTGACGAACCAATTTAATTTTGTTAAGTTCTCCAATGAGTTGTCGGCTGGGGCCAACATTGAGTTCAAGCTCATGGGCTCGGTAAATTTTAGCTCTTGCCACCAGTATTTGGATGTTTCGCAGTTGTTGTAGATATGGCTTAGGAAAGCGTCGGTGGCATCTTCTAGGATGAATCAGTCTTATCCTCCAAGCCAACGGCCTATCCCGTGTCAGGCGACCTATCTCGCATAGACAGCTCTATTATCCCGTGGCCTCTCCCACAAGTAAGAGTTAATAACCTCTAAAAGATCCAGTTAAGACTAAGATACAAAAAGTATCTTAGTATATTATGAAACAGCCTGGAGCTGTCTCTTAAACTACGAGTAGATCGGTTTATAGATAGTTCAGCCTTAGTGGATAGGCCTAGTCTATCTGTCGTATTCTCGATGTCTAAAAAGTGTTATCCTTCTTCAGGGATGTCTCAGCCTCACGCTCCTTTATAGTTCGGAACCCTTCTATACAGTAGGTGAGGGGTAACCCCGATCAGGAATGTTTAGACTCTTCGTCCTTCGTATTATACAGGATGCCCAGAATCTATAATCTGGCTCATGTCGTATCATAACATTATCTCCCCAAAATTAGAATGTTCGTCCTCGAACATTTAGTTATCATGGATAGAGGAAAGCCTCGAAGTACCTTCGCCGCGTCTGATTATTCTGTGACGGCGTACTACCGCGTGTTCTCCGGTTGTAGAATGGAACTCAGGGAGGTTCCCTGGCCGTGTGCGATTATATGCGCTTTCAAGAGCGATTC